ACATTTAAATTGTTTTTTATGTGCTGCAACAGATGCAAGGGCAACAGCCAAACATGTTCGTCTTGCGCATGCTTTTCAAAGAAAAACAATTGAAAAGCTGCAAATGTGAAAAGGCTTTCTGTGAGAACGTTCCCTATGCAACTGATTTATAATTTTGTAGACAACGTGAATTAATGTATGTAATCGCAAACCAGCTTACTTCCGTAATTTTCTGTAAACATATTTTTGAGAGAAACTGCATAATTGGAGGACTTGCTTTATTCAAATGTGAATTGATTGGATGTTGATAAGTGGGTATTACAATACAGAACAGACTTAAACTGAATTACAATTTTCTTTAATAAATCCTAAATAGGTTTTTGACTATTGGTTAACATTATCAAATAACCAGTATAAAGTATTTTCAGTTGCTAAAGATTACAAAGATGTTTCTTTTTATTTTTCAATAATAGACCAGGAACTAAGACAAAACTATGAAAGCCAATACCAGATTTTATTTTTTTACTTAATGTTTACTTAAAAACAGCCCAACAGTCACTTGGTCATTATAAACCAAGTGAAATGAAAATTAAAACAGGTGGCAAATGTAGTTATAATTTCCAGCATGTTTTATGACTCCATAAGCACATTATGGTGTTACTGTAGGAAGAAGGTCAATGGGACACAAATGAGGAAGAAAATACGAAAACAAGCAAGTGGAAAATAAATCACATACACAATGCATGTACTAACACTGCAGTCTATCCAGCCTCGTGATGAAATACTGAATCATCCAAACCACAAAATCCTTCAACGTCAAAGAGGGCTATTCACAAACAGGAAAGGCAAGGATGCCTGAGGGGAACAAAGGTAAGAGATGCAAGTCATTGCAAACTCCACACAAATGCCTACTCTGCATTTTAGGGGGGAGCAATCCTGATCAATGTTAGTTATGTCCCTGAGCTTAAGTGAAACTGTACATGGTGACCACACGAATCTGCATTACGAACGAAGGTTCACTAAGTCTGCACAATGCTCGAAACGAAATATTTCTATGGGCTCTGTTGAGGGTGTAGGACAGGGAAGACTGTTTAAGACAATTATTACATGAATCATCATAATGGCACTTTGCAACACACATACCAAAACAGCCATTTATTTACCTCTAGAACAATAAAATATTGCGAGACTAAGACTAAAAAGTAGTTTAAGACAAGTATTACATGAATCATCATAATGGCACTTGCAACACATACCAAAACAGCCATTTATTTACCTCTAGAACAATAAAATATTGCGAGACTAAGACTAAAAAGTAGTTTAAGACAAGTATTACATGAATCATCATAATGGCACTTGCAACACATACCAAAACAGCCATTTATTTACCTCTAGAACAATAAAATATTGCGAGACTAAGACTAAAAAGTAGTTTAAGACAAGTATTACATGAATCATCATAATGGCACTTGCAACACATACCAAAACAGCCATTTATTTACCTCTAGAACAATAAAATATTGCGAGACTAAGACTAAAAAGTAGTTTAAGACAAGTATTACATGAATCATCATAATGGCACTTGCAACACATACCAAAACAGCCATTTATTTACCTCTAGAACAATAAAATATTGCGAGACTAAGACTAAAAAGTAGTTTAAGACAAGTATTACATGAATCATCATAATGGCACTTGCAACACATACCAAAACAGCCATTTATTTACCTCTAGAACAATAAAATATTGCGAGACTAAGACTAAAAAGTAGCCACCGCGCTCGTGACCACTAATGCTCAGTCTAGACTCCTGTGTCTTTGACATTTTTGTGCATTAACTACTTTTGTGCACAATATATAATACACACATTCACAATACAGAAAACTATTCTGTACTCAATTCCATAAAAATACAGGACTATATTTCCACTCTTGCTGTCTAACACCCCATCGACACAGCGAAACTCACCGGAGGAAACATGATGGACTTTATTCGCGTCCACCTCGGCCATGTCAGCGATTTAAAATCCCGCGTAGAGGATAAAATCCCAGTTTAATTCACAGTACAACAGGACCCGAGTCTGTTCAACAGGCTTGTTTTGCCCCTCAGTGGTTGATTGAAGGGTTCCTCTCCGGTTGCCGCATGTTTACAAGCGTCCACTCGCGAGCAGCACCAGGCAACTTCCGATGAGGTCACGTGACCAGACAACATCATGTGACAAACTGCGGCCTGAGGTGTGCCATAAAACTTTCATGGTGTTGGAGTGTGTGTGGATACTGTAAACAGAGCTTGTTGTGTATTATTCACATTAAGTGATATGTGATAGTGGAAAAGGCAGTTCTTTGTGGATGTATTCTCAATTCTACTTTGAAGTAAATCAGATGATCACTAGAATGCTAGAACACTAATGTACCATTTGATTTTCTCTTTTAAAAAGGACATTGCATTATCCATCATATATTAAAACATATTAAACTATATTAAGTTTCATTTACAGCTGTATTATGTTTTATATGTTCTGTTTTTCTTATATTTAACGATCACAAATTATAAAAAAATAGTTTGAAAGGTTGTTCATATATACAGTATCTCACAG